TTCTGAATCCCCCCGGGGGGAGACATTGAAACAACAAAACGGACGTTGTCTTCTTTTCGTTGTGTCTTGCTCTTTTGTGCTCAAAATGTATCCAGTGAGTCGATACAAATTCAATCATCAATTCATTCGCTTCTCACTTTGCTATAGCCAAAAACCAAATGTCTATTTTTCTTTTTTTTTTTCTGCAAGACGTAGTTCCAGAAGTTTTTCGGAGAAGACATTTTTTCTAGCGTTCACCTGTTGTTTTCTTACTTTTTCGAGTCCATTTATCAACTTTATCCTGTCTTTCCCGTTCGTGTTTTTTGTGTGTTTTTGTTAGAGCACTGGTAGTCTAAATATGTTTTTTCGATTGCATTCCTTGCTTAAATAACAATTTTCAAATTTCGAATTTCCATTAAGTTTGAATTTAGAAGTTTCGTTATTAAGACCGGCACAGAGAAAGCCAATTCAAAAATACGCAAAAAACAAAAAGAACCAAATTTCTAGCACTTCTATAACCCGAGATACAGTCATTTGAAGTTTCTAAGGCTAGAGACGCAGCGTGTCTCGTTGTCTGCGTCTATAGCCTTTAAAACTTCAAATGCCTTTATTCATATTAGTGCCTCCAACCGATAAGATCACCAAGAAGATTCTTCACACACAATTTTGAATAAAATTTTGAATAAAGTTTAAATTTTGACAATGCACGAAAAACGGATTGTCTATATCCTATCAAACTTCAATGGCGCTATCTTGGCTCCTATGTAAAAAATATGTTAAAGCCAAAAAATCCAAGTTTATATTTCTTCTAGAACTCGAGATAAAGTCATTTGTCATTTTAAAATCTAGAACCGCAGACGACGAGACACGCTGCGTCTGTATCCTTGGAAACTTCAAAAATATGAAAAACCTAAAAAGAAGCAGGTTTATAGGTCTTCTAGATCCCGAGATACAGCCATGTGAAATTTTCATGGCTAGAGACCCAGTGTGTTTCGTCGTCTCCGTCTCTAGCCCTCAAAACTTCAAATTCCTAGATAAGCTAGAAAAGTGAAAACTAGACAGAAATAAGCGAAAAAATTCCAAGATATTGGAAAACCAAAAAGAACCAAATTTCGACCCATTCTAGAACCCGAGATACAGCCATTTGAAGTTTCCAGGGCAAGAGACGCAGACGACGAGACACACTGCGTCCTAGACGAGCTAGAACGATGAAAATTAGACAGAAATGATTAATTTTTTAAGATTTTTATTTGAAATGATATATGTCTTCTTTCGTCGTCTTCTTTCATAATTTTTTTCTGGAACCTGATTATTTTTTAAGGGTTTCTGAATCTAACACATCTCTAACTTCTTGACTAGCCCACCGTTCAAAACCTCTCTTCTCCATTTCTCCATAAATAACCCCATTCGGGATTAGTACTTCCTTCCATTCCTTCTTCTCCCACTTTTTTACTTTTTTCTTACTTTTTCTCCCCTAGCTGCACTCCACTAATACAATTAGAATTTCCTCTCTCGCTCTCTTTCCCATGCACCTCCTGTTACATTGGAATTTTAAACCCCGTCTTTTTTCCCTACTCAAACAAACGGACCTCCTTCTTCTTCACAAATTCAATTGCCCTTCCAACGTCTTCTTCTTCTTCTTCCACAGAAACTCCTTTGTAACCCGACCACACCTCCGTTTTTTTCCTGCGTCTCCTGATCTCTCAGATTCCTTATGATGTTTTTTATTCTTCTGTCGGTATGGGTTCTTATTAACAATTGCTGTTGTATCGGCTGCGTCTCTTTTCTGTTGGGGTCATACGGTCACTCGATGATGGCAGCTGTTCGTTTTGGGGAAGAAAAAGAGGACCATATGACCAGCACCGGATCACTCCACCAGAGCACCACCCCAGTACCTTTTCTTATTTACCCATTTCTCTTCTCACCTAGATTTTTTCCTGGCTAGAGATTCTGGAGTTTCTTTTTATAGAATGTTTCCTAGAGATTCTTAAAAATCTGTTTAGGTACCATCCATTTTTCATTCAGCGTTTTTTGATCTAGAACGGCAATCACATAATTTAGAAATTCAAAAAAATACATTTTTTGAAACAATTTTCAGACAAAAAATGGGTTGGTCCATGTTTTTCGCCCAAAGATTCTATGAGTCATCAAAATTTGAATGACATTTTTCCTGATCAATTTTTTCCGAAAAAACATTTCCAGAATTTTCCGTTATCTGATAAACAAAATAATTTCGAAATGACACTACTATGACAAGTCACATGACACATGGGAAATTTATTATTTTTCAACAGAAATTCGCTATTTTACAATTTTCGAACTAATCTTGATATTTCTTTGTTATCAAAATTTATCGTAAAACCTGTGATAGAAGGGCTCCTTAACTTTTAACTTCAAGCCAATTTATCTCGGCTCCTGTCAGATAAATAAAAAAGCTGTCAACTAGTAAAATGTTCATGATATTAGGTTGGCGGGAAAGTCTTTGTCACTTTTTCAATAGTTTATTTCTCAAAGAAAAAATAACCGAATAATTAATTATATTGTCCATCATTATCAACAACATGTCTCCAACGTTCCCTCAATTTATGGATTCCATTGCGGTAGAATCCAGCCGGGCGTGAGGCAAAGTATTGTTGAGTGCCGCTTCGACCGCTCCACGGGAATTGAAGCTTCTTCCTTCGAAGGCACGTGTCATATCGCCAAATAACCAATAGTCGGAAGGAGCAAGATCAGGAGAATACGGGGGGTGAGGGAGAACATTCCATCCATATCCCATCAGCTCCTGCTTCACTTGTTTCGAAACATGTGGGCGAGCGTTATCATGTTGATAGTACACTTTCTTGTCTTTCAGGGCCGAACGGTCGACTGCTTTCTTGAGGTTTCGTAGTTGAGTAGTGTAGAGGTCTCCAGTTATTGTTTTGCCCTCGGGCAGAAGTTCCCAGTAGATGGGGCCGTCCACTCCCCACCACACAGAGAGCATAACTTTTTTCAGATGAAGGTCGGGTTTGGGGACATCCTGTGGGCTCTCTCCTTCTCCAACCCACTGGGATTTCCTGTGGTGATTATCGTAGAAGACCCACTTCTCATCTCCGGTTATTAGCCGGTCCAGCCATCGATCGCCCGCGTGGAGAGTGAGAAGGGTAATCGAATCGTCGACTCGGCGGTCAAGGTTGGCTTGAGTCAGGTGATGAGGTATGAATCGACCAAAAAGTTTTCTCATTCCAAGAGACTTCAAACCTTCAAGGACTGTGCTATGGTGAACTCCGAATGTGACAGCTAGTTCACGGCTAGATTGAAATGGATCCGATTGCAATGCGTGCTTCAACTTGTCCAAATCCAACTCACGGGGTCTCCCAGAGCGATCCTTTTCATCGAGCGAGAAGTCATCTTTTTCGAAACGATGGAACCAATTGCGAATAGTATTGTAGTGAGGGGCATGTGTGTTGTACACATTCTTCAAGAAAGTTTCCGAATCCTTCATCGTGGTGTGAGATAGGAAGAGGTAAATCAAAACATGTCTGATGTGAATAGCAGTGGGAACAAACATATCGTTTCAATTACAGATGAGGAGCAGGGAAGGAGATGGGGACTTGTTTATATGGAAGGTTCTTATCACCTTGTTATTCACTAGAGTCGATATCATACACAGCCTCCATATACGAGAACAGTGATTAAACAAACAGAGTGACAAAGACTTTCCCGCCAACCTAATAACATCAAAATTGTTTTCTCAGTTGACACAATTTTGATATCTTTCACAGGAATCGAGATAAATTAGCTCAAACTTGGCAATATATGACCCATCTATTACAGTTTTTATGGTAGATACTATCAAATAGAAGTCTTGAAAAAATCATTTATTTTTGGCCGATTTTCACCGTTCTAGCTTATTTAGGAGCCCAGATAGCGCCAGTCCAAGTTTTAAAGCCTAGAGACGCAGACGACGAGACACACTGCGTCTCTAGCCTTGGAAACTTTTAATGGATGTATCTCGGGTTCTAGAAAGGCTAGAAACTTGGTTCTTTTAAATTCCGGCATATTTTTGAATTTCTGTTTCTTGTTTTACCTTCTTATTTTACCTTCTTCTTCTCTCTCTCTCTCTCTCTCTCTCTCTCTCTCTCTCTCTCTCTCTCTCTCTCTCTCTCTCTCTCTCTCTCTCTCTCTCTCTCTCTCTCTCTCTCTCTCTCTCTCTCTCTCTCTCTCTCTCTCTCTGCTCTAGAAGTATACATGCACTTTGAGCTCCAATATGTGGGTTCTCATAAGAGGTATCAAAAATCTGTCAACTGATAAACTATAGGTAATATTATGATAAATAATTTATCAGTTGACAAATGTTCGATATCTCTTATGGGAACCGAGATAATTGAGCTTAAAGTCAACCCCCTGTTTTTCAACACTACAGTACTTCCTGTTCCACTAAACTTCTACTACTTTTTTCCAACTATTTTTCTGCATCTTCTAAAACAATTGTCTTCTTGTGTGTTCGAAAGTTGATTGAAACATAAACAGAACTGGTTGTATTGGTCAATTCTCTTTCACTTTTTTTCTGCTGCAATTACGACCTTACATTTTCTTCCCTTTTCCGTCCAGTTGCACTTTCCATTTGACCCATATAATCTGAATTCCAAAATCATAATCCAATGATTCCGGTGTCTCCATGACTCATGAATAATCTACCTACACTTCTCATAAGTGTCACCACTCCCTCCCTCCTCTTGAAATAAAATAAAAATGCTTGAGTTCATTTTCATGTCCCCTGTGTGCTCTCTCGAGCCACACCTTTTGTTCTTGATATGCTCTCTTGGTGTACTTTCGCAAATTGGAGTTTCTGACCTTTCCGCTTTTTCGAAGGCATTTTCCATAGCTGAAACTTTGTCCCGCATTTTCTCTCTCTCTCTCTCTCTCTCTCTCTCTCTCTCTCTCTCTCTCTCTCTCTCTCTCTCTCTCTCTCTCTCTCTCTCTCTCTCTCTCTCTCTCTCATCTTAAGTCCAAATTTTTGTATGAAAATTTTCAGACAAAAAATGGGTAGACCTATAACCTGTCTCATCCTAATCGCCTATCTCTGGCTATCAGCCACCTCAAAAGTGCTGCCGATCGACGAGGAAGACCAACTTCTGTACGAGGTAATCAATCTCTTTCCTTATTCTTTTCAAACCAGTTCCCCCTATTCTTATCATCTATTTTTGAAGCGATTCGCACGGCAAGGTGTCGAAAAATTCAACCATCAATCGAACGACGCCTACAAATGGGAACTCGACAGAACGTGGGAGGTGGAGAGAAAATTGTCCGGCGGCATTCACTACTCCATTTTTGTCACATTGGTCAAAACCGATTGTAAGAAGGGTCAGGAGGAGGTGGAGGGGAGAAAGTGTCGGAAGACAGATACTCTCAAGGTGAGGTTTTTTTGGAATAGAATTGGAAAAAAAACAGTGGAAGGAGGAGAGGTGGAGAGAGTTAAAGAAGAAATCAGAACGCCACTCTTAACTTTCAACTTTGAGCTCAATTATCTCGGCTCCTATGAAAGATATCAAGATATTGTCAACTAATAAAACATTCGTGATATTATGATAAACATTTTATTAGTTGACAATTTTTTTATATCTTTAACAGTAACCGAGATAAATTGGCTCAAAATTGACAGCCCTTCTATTACAGGTTTGACAGTAATTACACTATCGGAAAAATTGGGAGATTGTACATGATGAATAATTAAGCTAATTTCAGAAATGCCAAGTTGAGATTAGTCGTCGTGTGAAGAGACATGGATACGGTCTCAAGGACGTTGCTCATATCAAGCACTGCGAGGAGGAGTTCACAAGAAACATTGATAAGTTCGAGTGAGTTGAAAGTTCTCTAAATTTTTTGGAAATTTGTAGTTTCAGTCATCGCAAGATCCAACTCACACACGATGATTCAATTACTGTTCAAGAATTGAGAAAAGCGAAAATCATCCGGCCAAGAGACTACGTCATCTGGAACTCCTTCTTGGACTTTATTGATAGGTACTACATATATTGCTCTAATAGAAGCTCAACTATCTCGGTTCTTTTGAGAGATATCAGTAAGTATAATATCAGATATCATATAGTAATATAGATATATATATATATATATATAGTAAGATATCAGTAACTGATAAAATGTTTATCATAATATCACTAACATTTTATCAGTTGACAAAATTTTGATATCTTTCATGCCAACCGAGATATTTAAGCTCACAATTGGGTAGCTATAATATATCAATTTTTTTAATTCACATATTCTCCAGACACGAGAAACGTTACTCCAACAAACGCGAAGTCCTCAAAAGATTCCGTACTTTCAAGAAGAACGCCAAAGTGATCCGAGAACTTCAGAAGAACGAACAAGGAAGCGCTGTGTATGGATTCACAAAGTTTTCTGATATGACAACGATGGAATTCAAGCAAACGATGCTTCCGTATCAATGGGAGCAACCAGTCTATCCAATGGCTGAAGCTGATTTTGAGAAAGAAGGCGTCACGATTTCCGAAGACGATCTTCCAGACTCGTTTGATTGGAGAGACCATGGAGCTGTGACTCAAGTGAAGAATCAAGGAAATTGCGGAAGTTGTTGGGCATTCTCAACTACTGGAAATGTCGAAGGAGCTTGGTATTTGGCGAAGAAGAAGTTGGTTTCGCTTTCGGAACAGGAGTTGGTTGATTGTGATAGTGTCGATCAGGGATGTAATGGTGGATTGCCAAGTAATGCCTACAAGTGAGTCTTGGAATCTGAAATTTGGATCATGTATGTGATGGGAGGAATTTCCGTTTCCGTTTTCAGTTTTCCGTCCGGTTTTTAGAGATTTTTTCCGTTTCCGTTTCCGCTGAAAAATAATTTACGATTCCGTTTTCGTAAAAGTGAAATTTTATTTCCGTTTCCGTTTTCCGTAAAACATAAAAAAAAATGTAAAAAACAACGAAAACATTAAACTGAAACTGGCTTGAAAAAAAGCATGGAAAGTGATGCTAATATGGTCATTAAAGGTTAAAAAGTGTATATTTTTATGTTTGAAGGGAAAAAATCCAGAAAAATAGACGAAAAATAAGAATTTCCGTTTCCGTTTCCGTTCTAGTTTTCCGTTTTCCGTTTTCCGCCCGATTTTTGAAGATTTGTTTTCCGTTTCCGATCTCTAGAGTCTTATACTTAAGATCCTGATCGATATATCCTTGAATCCTAGCAAATTACTCATCAACATTTTCAGAGAGATCATGCGTATGGGCGGTCTGGAACCAGAAGACGCCTATCCATACGATGGAAAAGGTGAAACTTGTCACATTGTCCGAAAAGACATCGCTGTCTACATCAACGGATCCGTCGAGCTGCCACACGACGAGGTGAAGATTCAGAAGTGGCTCGTCACCAAGGGACCCATTTCTATTGGTAAGTCATATATATATATATATATATATTATACTCCGTAAAACTTTATTCTGGACAATTTAGTGTGTGAGATTTTTTGAAGAAAAATTTGATCCTTAATTCACTGGGGTACAAAGAAATATACAATCAAAACACTCGAGTCGGGATAAGATCAATAGAGGCGGGACATGTTGAGAACAAATATGAGTATAACTGGCTGGGGGGGATACGGGGGGAAGATTTTTGCACGTGTCATGTGTGCAAATGTGTCATCATGGTTCTCTGACGGTTGAGGAGAGAATTATCAGGTCATAGTTCAGGAAGCTAAAAATTGATAGAGTGTAGCATTCTGGAAACATCTGACCGTCGAACGATTGCTCGTTTCACAGGACGCTTCCGTAGTTGAATAGGGTTACGGTAGAAGGAGGATTGGAAGCATCTGGAAACAATTTTTCTGTGGGATTTTCTGGAATATGGAGAAACTTACTGTTCAGGGAACTCGTCAGGAAATAGTTCATGAGCTGGTTTCAATAGAAAATCTACAGTAGCTTGCTGGATACCAACAGCTGCCCATTGCATAAGTCGAGCGATTCCGCAAAGGATCACGACGATGAAAGATTCTGAATTATCTCGATTTCTGTGGAAGATATCAAAATGTTGTTAACTGATAAAATTTTTACCAGAACATCAGCGACATTTTATCAATTGACAAAATTTTGATATCTATCACAGAAACCGAGAAAAATCGGCTCAAAGTCGAGAGTCAGGGTTCGTGGAGAAGCCCACCGTATACAAGCGCTTTGAGTTTAATTATCTCGGCCCCTGCAAAAGATATAAAACATTTGTCAACTGATAAAATATTCATCATGAAAGCAACGACATTTTCACTGTTAAAAAATTTTCTATATCTTTCGAAGAAACCGAAAAAACTGCTCAAAGTCGACAGTCAGGGTGAGTGGTATCTGCCGCCTTATATGCATTTTGAGCTCAATTATCTCGATTCCTGTGAAAGATATCGAAAAATGGACAACTGATAAAATGTTACTGATATTATGATAAATAATTTATTAGCTAAAATTTTTTTGATATCTTTCATCAGAACCGAGAAAAATCGACTTAAAGTCTACAGTCAGGGTGCGTAGTGAAGCACACCCGATACGTGCGTTTTGATCTAAATTATCTCGGTTCCTATAAGATTTATCAACAATCTGTCAACTGATAAAAGTTAACTAATATTATGATAAGCATTTTATCAGTGGAAAAATGTTTATATCTTTTGAAAGAACCGAGATAATTGAGCTCAAAGTGCAAGTTTAGTTTTCATGATGACTCACGCTCTTTCCTTTTGACACCAGCTGCAAAATGCTTCCTAGCGTAGGCGGAGTTTGGCACATTGTACTGTAGACATAACGGCTTTTTGTTAAGATACCTGACGAACTTTCTAGATTCAGAAGACGTCCTCAAGAATTCTAGACATACCGTAACCTAGCCATCGCCTCCATTCCACTTTCCCGTCTACCAATGGATTTTCCAACGGCCGCATTGCAGTTCGACGATCCGTTTTTACCTTTTCGATGATGCATTCTAGAGGGTCGCTCCCTGAAAATTCAAGAATAGAAAAAGATGAATTGAAGCCGCTCGCGCGCGTTATATCTGATCCTAGAGATCCTAAGAAATGTGCAAACTGAAATGACATGATGGTGGGTTTCAAAAGCCAGACACGGTCCACGAAGAGAGAGTGTGTGATATGAAGAGAGTCTAGACAGTGATATCTTTTGTTAGCTTTTGAAATGACGATCTCTTATTCTTCTCAAATACACACTACACACAGGCACACACACATGATAAGAACTATGATTTTGGTTTTTTTCTACATATAAAATTTTGTATGAGTGATGTATACGAGCTCTATATGGGATACAATGTATCGTCATAAGATGAGTAATAACGGAAAATCCGAAGATATATACCGCGGCGCGAAGACTGGCATTGTGTGCATCGGTGGATGTAGTGGTTTTTTTTATTTCGAGTAAAATTCGTCTGAAAAGAAACATTTTGTGATAGAATTGCGAAAAAATTGAGCTCAATGCTCCGCAACATTGACGAACATAAAATTTGATGATAAGAAGAAAAATAGTAGAATGTAAACGAACATTTCGAGTGGGAGGGTTGTGATGTGGGAGAAAAAACAGTTAGGTGGAGATAAGGGCTCGTGGGAAAGTGTGAGCTGGAATTAGTCCATAGAGAAAGTTCTGGAAGGTACTTGAGACATAGGATTATGATACTGTATGTATTGTTATTGAACTATGTGCATGCTCACCATATGAATCCTTTGAGCCATTTTATCTCGTTCCCTATGAAAAATATCAAAAATGTGTCAACTAATAAATTGTTTACCATAAAATTATCAATATTTTATTAGTTGACAAATTTTTGATATCTCTTACAGCAATTGAGATACATAACCTCAAAGTTGAAATTTTGGGTGGGCTTAAATCTAGATTGAACACTTTGATCCTCAATTTTGAGCCAGTTTATCTCGTTTCCTATGAGAAATATCGGAATATTGTTAACTGATAGATTATTTATAATAATATCACCAACATTTTATCAGTTGACACATTTTTGGTAACTTTGACAGAAACCGAGATAATTGAGCTCAAAGTATAAGATGGGCTTGTAGTGGGCTTCTATAGGGTGTGCTTCTACTTTTGGATATACCGTATCTCGCTTTATCGGATTGTTCAAAAAAAATTGTCAATTACAAAACAGAAGCGTTATGTTTGTACCCTGAATTTTTCAGAAAAATCGAAAAATTCTGGAATACTTTTTCAAGACTTCAAAATTTGACTACCGTAAACATTTAAATTGGAGGAGCCCGTAATTTTCGACTTTGAGCCAATTTCTTTCAATTCCTGTGAGGGTTATCAAAAACTTGACAACTGATAATTTTTTAATCATATTATCGCCAATATTTTATCAGTTGACTAACTTTTGATATCTTTCAGGAATCGAGATAATTGAGCTGAAAGTGTACCTATATATAGGGTGTGCTTCTATTAGAGCATATACGGTAGCTAGTTTTCACAGAATGCCGAAATATCATAATTATTTGTTAGATGCTGAGAAACAGATTTATCTCATATTCTGAATATCTTGTATCCATAAAAACAACTTTCAGACTTTTTGAGTTCTTCTATATATTAGGCATCTTGTTTATCGCACTCCCACTTGGGCTCGTCCCCCCAAATTATTCATGCTGATGTCTGAATTCTAGAAGACGTCAGAATTAGGATTGGTAATTTTTTTTTCGAACTGCTAAAAATACAATGAATCACAGAAAAAAGTTCATTCGAAATGAATAGTTCAGAGCTTCTTCAGTAAACAAAGCTTCTTTACAACACAGAGCAAAAAAAGTTTGATACATTCAAAATCATTAAAACCGCAACACACTCTTCACGCCCTCTCCAACATCTGATTCTGTTTCAATTAATTCGCCTTCTGATGAGTTCCACGTGTCATTCTTCTCATCTGATCGCTCACCACCTGCAAAAGAACGGGTTATAGTTGAGTGGGTGTTCGATGTGTACTGACCTGTTTGTGATCCATTTGGTTGTCGCTTGTAGATCGCTTACCGAGGACGTAATACGATGGATAGTAGTAATAGTAGGAGTAGGGGTAGTAGGAGTAGTAGGGGTACTGTAATCACTAAGTTCTCCAGGGACAGGAGTTCTGGAGAGATAGGGGTTCCTAGGCCAGGGACGTTAAGACTGTATATGGTATACGAATGCGATTAATTTGTCCTCACCTACCGTAACCCAAAATGTTCACAGTTACCATAAGAAAGTACACCATTTCTCTCGAAGTAACAAGTCACAAAAAGATTAATATATCCCTTAAATTCAAAAAAAAACTCACATAAAGATTATAATATTGTGCCTCTGCCTTCGGAATCACCGTGCACGCAATCACAGTCAGCAGCAATAACCTATGAAACAAAGTTCGCCGTATTTCCTCTAATAGACACCCACCGTCAACTTTGAGCCCATATATCTCGGTTCCTGTGAAAGCTATCAAAAAATTATCAACATTTTATCAGTTGCCAAAATTCTATTATCTTTTATAGAAAGCAAGATAATTGAGCTCGAAGTTGATGGCTTCTATTAGAGGAAATACGTTAGTTTGATCTCTAGATCTTTTTAACTCACCCGACTTTTTGGTTCATCTTCGATCGGCTCGTTAGGAATCGTATCTTTTCTCTCTTATCGGAGCTCATCTTTTATACTGATCCCAAAAGAATTTGGGCGGTGCAAACAAACCATATAGTTAGAAAAGATCCTTGGAAAGTTTCTGTTTACCAAAACTCCCAAAACCGTTCCTTTTCTCCCTTTAAACCCTCAATTTGCTTTGAACTCTTCCTCTTCACACCCTGATTTTCGATCTTTTTCCAGGTCTCAACGCGAACACTCTCCAATTCTACCGCCATGGCGTTGTTCACCCCTTCAAGATCTTCTGCGAACCGTTCATGCTCAATCACGGAGTTCTGATTGTCGGCTACGGAAAAGACGGTCGCAAACCATACTGGATTGTGAAGAACTCGTGGGGACCGACGTGGGGAGAGTCCGGATATTTCAGACTGTACCGTGGAAAGAATGTTTGTGGAGTACAGGAGATGGCTACGTCGGCTCTTGTTAACTAATGATCATTTGTACTTTTTCGAATCCGTATCTTTGTCAAACACAACGTGTTTCTTTTTCTGTGTATTTACTTTCTTTTTGCTGATTTAATAAAAGTTCAATATAAGTGTCTTTTTTGAGATGCAAGCCAATTCATTCAATAAATTATGTGATAAAACGTTGGATATGAGTTACATAGATTATACATTCTGGCAATGGGATATATCTTATCCACGGGTGGCGATGTATCCGATGAGGTCGACGACACGGTTGGAGTATCCATATTCGTTGTCGTACCAAGAGACAAGCTTCACAAAGTTCGGGTTGAGGGAAATGCAAGCTCCGGCATCGAAGATGGAGGAATGTGGGTCGGAGACAAAGTCGGTGGACACGACTTGATCCTCGGTGTAGGCGAGAATTCCCTTCATTGGTCCCTCGGCGGCGGCCTTCACAACCTTCTTGATATCATCCATCGAAGCTGGCTTCTCAAGACGAACAGTCAAATCGACAACGGAGACATCTGGGGTTGGAACACGGAAAGCCATTCCGGTGAGCTTTCCGTTGAGCTCTGGGATGACCTTTCCGACGGCCTTAGCAGCTCCAGTAGAGGCTGGGATGATGTTCTGTCCGGCACCACGTCCGTCTCTCCACAGCTTTCCGGATGGTCCATCAACAGTCTTTTGAGTGGCAGTGACGGCATGGACGGTTGTCATGAGACCTTCGATGATTCCTGAAAAAAAAATGAAAGTTCGTTAAAAATGAAAAATATTCACAATTCCTTACCAAAATTGTCGTTAACAACCTTGGCCAATGGAGCAAGGCAGTTTGTGGTGCAGGAGGCGTTCGAGATGACGTGGTCATTTGAAGCGTCGTACTTCTCGTGGTTGACTCCTACGACGTACATTGGAGCGTCGGCAGATGGAGCGGAGATGATAACCTTCTTGGCTCCTCCTTGCAAGTGAGCGGAGGCCTTTTCTTTAGTAGTGAAAACTCCGGTCGACTCGACAACATAGTCAGCCTTGACGGATCCCCAAGCGATGGCAGCTGGATCCTTGCTGTTGAAGACCTTGATCTTGTGAGATGACTTTCCGTCCTTTTGAACGATCAAAAAGTCACCATCGTAGGAGACGGTTCCCTTGAATTGTCCGTGAGTTGAGTCGTACTTGAAAAGGTAGACCATGTAGTCGATGGTGATGAATGGATCATTGACGGCGACGACTTGCACGGTGTCCTTCTCAACGGCAGCGCGGAGCACGAGACGTCCGATTCTTCCGAATCCGTTGATTCCGACGTTAGCCTTCGACATTTTGGGATCACCTGTGAAGCGAATTTTTTGAAACCAAGAGTTTGAAACCGCCTGAAAAAGATAAACGGAGAAGAATTGAGAAAAACTAAACAGAGAATTCTGGAAATATGCGAAGATGAAACATTACGAGAACAGAGGAGCTTCGAAATGACACAATGACTGTTAGAAACTGCTCAGAACAACGCAGGAATCATCAAAACACTTCGAAAATTGAAAAAAAAAACCGCCGCGCCAAAAGTTTGAACGCGTTCGTTGCGAGACCCAAAGAAAATGTTCGTACAGACTCCTTTAAAAATTGAATTTTGAAAATCGAAAATATCAAAATTGGAAGCAGTTTCAGACCTGTAAAAAATTCATATAGTAAATTTGAAATTCTATTTTTTTTGGTTATAATCTCCATATTTGTTTTGATCTAGAAGGGGCTAAGGTAGTTGGGGGGGGCCACTTTTTTTTCGTTTTTTGAGGCTAATTTAGTGTCTCTGGGGTAGAAAAGAGCGGCGAAGAAGCCTAAGCCTATTTTTTAGACAATTCCCATCTAAAAACACAAAAAAAAATCTTCTAAAAAATTTTTTTTACCGGTTTTTCGTATTTTTTACCGATTTTTCGCTCATTTCTCGGAAGTTTTTGTTTTCTGGGATCCACGTTTGTTCAAAATTCCTTTTTAAAGTCTGAAAATGGAATTTTAAAATCATTCTTCGTCCTCGAGAACTACAAGATTTCTTGCTCACTCTAAATTTAGATTACTGTAGCTCGAAAATGCTAGCTGTTATTAGCTGTTTTTGCTGTTATTCGCTGTTATTAGCTAGTATTCTAATATTCGCTATGACTGCCGTTGCGGCTATATTAGACTTAAAGTCTTTTAACCTAATCAAAACCTGGCCGGAGCTAGCCAACAAAACCGACGACGAATTCGATGAGTATCTCGCTGAAAGAGGCTTGCTCTGAAGAGAAAATCCATGTCCGTCTTGTCACGAGTCGAGAAAAATCTCTAAGCAAAAGAATGCCTCTGGTTAGTAGATTAAAAGTATTTATTTCATGCGAATTAATTGTTTATAGGAGCGTTTTGCAAGCAGAAATTTGAGTGTTACAAACGAGCATGTCGAAATTCACGTTTCAACTGCAAAACTGGATATTTGAAGGGAACTTTCTTTGAGGGATTACGTGGAAGCCGTAAAAAGATTTTTCTGTGTAGCTTCCTCTATTTGAATGGAAAGATGGTGATGAAAGAGTTGGCAGAAACTTTGGAAACTGAGGAAAAGACAGTAATTCAGTGGTGCCAATGGTTCAGGGATATCATGGCGGAGAGTTTATATCAGCCCGCAATTATGA